GGACATTTTGAGCAGTCAGTCAGCAGAGGGCCAGCGAGGGACATAGACAGCATAGGAGCTCTCTTGTTGAATTTCTGTATCTGATTGTAAAGATAAATTAAATACAGATGTTAAACTTGGATTATCTTCGTCTTACTTCTGCATCAACTTTGAACACGTCCGTCAAAGGGTATTTTTGACAACAGTAATAACTGTTCAATTTCAACATATTTGTCGACTTTGATATGCATTATAGCTTTGGGGCCTTGCACTCGGCAGCCACTGTTGTAAACATGGTTCCCAAAGCTAAAAAGTGAAAGAGCCGATGAGAACTGAGGATTCAAGGAAGAATGAACCGAATCCTTTGCTTTCAATACCAATGAGCGATTGCTACACTTACAGAGTGTTGCCTTTGTACATTGTAAAAAGTGACGAAATCCTCAAATTTGGTAAAATGTGTCTTCATTTGAGCACATTTTGACCGCCTTAAAATAACATTTGCCAATGGGACAAGCAAAATGACATTGTTTAAAAAACATACAAGAAATGTCTCAAAGGATGAGAGATAAATGCAACAGTTCATGAAATAAGACTAAATGGCTTTCTCTCATTGGCAAATCTTAGAATAAAAAAAACACTAAATTTATTTCCTAATATTTATCATTTTTTGCAGTGTATAAACCTTTTCTAATGCTGCTCAAGAATATTTATTTTTAGTTTTCTTGTCAAATATGGCTTTTTGAATCTTAAAGTTTCCCGACCTCTGGTCTATAGGATGACAACTGTCAAGAAATTCTAGTAAAAATGCAGATACTGTATGTCCCAGATGGACAAAAGGTCAAAACGAAACTTCCTACCTAAAAATGATTTGGGCTTGTTTCTTGTATACAGTGTATGCCTTAATCTCATGGAAACTTAAATGCCTTTAAAACATTATAACATTAAAGCTGCACTAACTGACTTTATTTTTGTATTCATTACGAAAATGCAATCCATATCCATGCAGTGCATTGGAATATACGTCCTTTTGAAGAATAAGCCGCGCAGGTTTGGGCTGACGTGACATTATATTTTAGATCGAGTTTTGGTGAAACAAGGAAGAGAAAGTGTTTCGGGTCCAGATTGTGTCAGAAGCTTCCTGTGTCTTTGTTACTGCTTACTCAGCAAAACATCCATCCAAAAGAAAGTCTCGTCCTCTCCGCGCTTCCCGGTTCTGTCATGCTATGGACACGCCATCCACGTGCAAAAGTGCCATATTGTTCCATATTGTGAGACGCTAGCTCCAAAGCTAACAATAGCACAGAGCACAGGCTGTGGGGGAGGGGGCAGTGGGGGGTGAAAGCTCCGTGAGTGTGGGGAGGGCGAGCAGAGAGAGGGAGTTAGATATTAGCTCCAAATCAGTTAGTGCAGCTTTAAACCAGGACTCGTGACCAGAGTACAGGTAATGCGGTTTTAATAGAAGCAACGCCACCAAACTTCAAATTTGAATCTGAAATACGAGAAAATAAAAGGGGGGGAGGCATTGCTGCATTATTTAGAGATCGTATTATCTCTCATAGAATTCTCCTTGGAAATTTTGTATCATTTGAGTATATTTCTTTTAAAATAGAACAAAAACAATCTCCTTCTATTCTTATCATTGTCCTGTACAAGCCACCGCAGTCTTGTCACAATTTCTTTGATAATTTCACTGAGTTGCTTTCAGTTGTTTGCACCGATTTTGATAGTTTAGTGATTACAGGTGATTTTAATATTCATGTGGATAATGGCAATGACAAAAATGCAAAAGAGCTGAGTTCTGTACTTGAAACATTTGGTCTCACTCAGCACGTGAGTGGCCCCACCCACAGCAAAGGGCACACTCTAGACCTGCTGGTTACAAAGGGGGTTAATATTTTAAATGTAAATGTGGTTGACGTGGCTCTGTCAGATCACTTCTGTGTATTTTTTGACATGTGTTTTGATAGTAAACAACCATATATATCTGAATCTGCAATTGTCAGACACAGACACATAAATGAAAACACAACCGAACTATTCATGGGAATGATAAACTTTGAGAACACATTGTGTTCTACTGTTGACGAATTGTTTAACTCTGTCACCGCCAATGTTATAAATGTTCTGGACATCATCGCTCCTGTGAAGGTTAAAATGATTACATATAAGCCAAAGGCCCCCTGGACTAAAATGGACTCAGTCATGGTACAGAAGAGAGAGTGCCGTAGGGCCGAGCGGAAGTGGCGAAAATCCAATCTCCAGGTTGATCATGATATCTTCAAAAATGAGTTGTGCAAGTTTAACAGGGTGCTACGTAGAACAAGAGAAATTTATTTTTCTAAAACCATTGATGGCTGCAATAATAATCTACGACTTATGTTTTCAACAGTAACGGATTAACAAACCCCCCTGTTCAGCTGCCATTCGAATTTGCTTCAGAATCTAAATGTAATGAGTTTGCACAATTTTTCAATGACAAGGTTCAGAGCATCAAAAACGCCATCACCTCCAAGGCAGAAATAACATTACAACAGCCGGTGAGGCTGTTTGAGCTATCGCACTTTGCACCAACAGATAATGAAACTGTCCAAGATGTTGTCTCTAGCCTTAGTTCCTCCACATGTAGCCTGGATGTACTACCCACTAAATTTTTTAAGTCTGTTTTGAGCAGTCTTTTACCTTTGCTCACACAAATAGTGAACATGTCTTTCTCATCTGGAACATTTCCAATGGCCCTGAAAACGGCAGTCATCAGACCCCTCCTAAAAAAGAGGAGTCTAGATGCCACAGTTCTTAAGAATTATCGCCCCATTTCAAATCTGCCGTTTATGGGAAAAATTCTGGAAAAAGTTGCTTACCAACAACTTACAGAATTCTTAGTAACTAATAGTTTGTTTGATGCGCTCCAGTCCGGCTTTAGAGCCAATCACAGCACTGAGACTGCACTAGTGAAGGTTACAAATGACATCCGACTTAACACCGACACAGGAAAAGTCACAGTTTTAGTAATGTTGGATCTGAGTGCTGCGTTCGACACAGTCGACCACGAGATCCTCATGCAGAGACTAGAGCACTGGGTGGGTGTCACTGGGACTGCCCTAAGTTGGTTTAGGTCTTACCTAGAAGACAGGAAATACTTGGTTCAGATAGGAAACTGTGTCTCAGATCATATGGCTCTGACCTGCGGAGTGCCACAGGGATCAATTCTGGGGCCTCTTCTGTTCAATATTTACATGCTGCCGTTAGGTCAGTTAATACGCTCCAACAATGTATCCTACCACAATTACGCTGATGAACTCAAATTTATGTCTCACTTACTGCAGGAGAACATGGACCAGTGGAATCACTCCTTCACTGTACTCAACAGATTAGTGATTGGATGCAAAATAACTTCCTTCAGCTAAACGCAGACAAAACAGAATTGATTGTCTTTGGTCCTCAGAAACAAAGAGAGAGCGTTATTCGTCACCTCCAGTCTCTCTCCCTGGAACCTGTAGGCAAGGTCAGAAACCTAGGAGTTATAATGGACTCAGACTTAAATTTTAACAGTCATATCAAATCAGTAACATCAGCAGCATTTTACCATCTGAAAAACATTGCCAAAATTAGAAACATAGTGTCTAAAGCAGACCTGGAGATTCTCATCCATGCATTTGTCTCCAGTAGGTTAGACTACTGCAATGGCCTGCTCACAGGTCTCTCCAAACAGGCTGTAAAACAACTGCAGTATGTCCAAAATGCTGCAGCTCGAGTCCTGACCAGGACCAGGAAATATGACCACATTAGTCCAGTTCTCAGGTCTCTGCACTGGCTTCCTGTGGCTCAGAGAATAGACTTCAAAGCAGCACTGCTTGTTACAAGTCTCTCCATGGCCTCGCACCAGGGTACTTAAGCGACTTGTTAGTCCCATATGAACCGGCCCGGACTCTGAGGAGCACAGGAGGTAGCCTCTTACTGGTTCCAAGAGTCAGAACTAAACATGGGGAGGCAGCGTTTGAGATTTATGGGGCTAGGGTCTGGAACAGTCTTCCTGAAGATGTGAGGCTAGCATCTACTCTGGCAATTTTTAAATCAGGGCTAAAAACTGTTCTTTTTAGCTGTGCATACGGCTGAAGGATTTTATTGATACATACTCTTTTTTTTTAATGCATTGTGGTTATTTATTATTTTAATCCCGTGTATGCTTTTAATATTTTAAGTTTTTTATGTTTTTTTTTTTTTTTTTTTTTTCATTACTTGTGATTTTATTCTGTTTTTAATGTATTTATTGATGTCTCTGATTTGTGTGATATTATGTGGGTTGTGAGGCGCTTTGAGTGGCCTTGTGTTGGAAAGGCGCCATACAAATAAAGTTGATTGATTGATTGATGGTTTATCTGACTTTTGCTGCTGTTTTAAATTTGGTGTGATCCATGTTAGAGCCCTGCACTTGAGCCCTTGGCCCGAGGGCCCCGACAGCCCGATAGCCCGAGGGCCGGGCTTTGGGCCGATGACCGTATAATGACCTCGGACACGGGCCGGGCTCGGGCTCGCGCACTTTCAGAGCAGCAGATTACATTTACGAATTTACCCACTGAATATAGCGTTCCATCACGCTGTAGTGTTTGCTGTTCTGTGTAGTGATGTCATTGACGACACATAGCGTTACTTACAGGTGTGTTGCGGCATCTGTGACATCATCAGCTTACTTCCACCTAAGAAACATTGCTAAAATTAAAAACATAGTGTCTAAAGCAGACCTGGAGATTCTTATCCATGCATTTGTCTCCAGTAGGTTAGACTACTGCAATGGCCTGCTCACAGGTCTGTCCAAACAGGCTGTAATGGAGCTTAAGCGGAGGTTCAGGATGGTAGACTACCTACGTTATCACGCCAGGCTTGACCACGCCTTACTCGGCCTGTCTTAATCAACTCCCCGCAGCCGTGTCAATCAAGCCAGCGTTTAAGAGCAAAGCAGAGCACAGCTCACCAAACGGACTTCAAGCTGCAATGGGTTGCTCTTCGTCACTTTGTTTACTCACGCTTCGCACATTGTTCGTCCTGCATGGTCGCGGCTCCTCTTCAACATCACATGTTTGGGGCTGCGCGCCATGGTCGCTGTGTCTCCACCGCGGGTCCTCTCCTGCGGACTCGCTGCCGCTCGTCTCCCCGTGGCCGCTGCGCTCGCGGCCAGGCTCCGCGCACCCTGCCGCTTCCATACCGGGAACGGGACTTCTGTCTGCCTGCCGTCGTCTGCTGCCTCTGCCCACCCGTCTCCCTGCCTCCACTCACGGTACAGTGTCCGTTTCGTTGTTTTCCCCACTTCCATGAACTGCACTGAACTGCGGCGTGTCAGTTAATCCCGCCGAATTGGCTCGCAGGCTGTGTTTTTACCCGATGCATTGTCTGCAGGCTGTTCGTTTTACCATCTGCGTTGGCATTTAGACCGTCCGTTTTCACCATGGACCGCACATTTTAACCACTGTATTGGCCTTCTGGCTGTCCGTTTTACTCACGGGATGAACATTCTACACAATGCAGTGACCTCCAGGCTGTCCGTTTGACTATGGTCTGAACATTTACCCACTGCATTGACCTTCAGGCTGTCAGTTGTAACCATGGACTATAACATTTGTCGTCTGCTTGGCCTTTGCGCTGTCTATTTGACCGTGGACTGTAAGTTTTGCCCACTGTATTGCCTCCCGGCTGTCCGTGTCTGATGAGCTGCTCTGATTGGTCGGAGCGCGGCCGAGCCCCTCTGTACTGTTCGACAACCAGCACTTTTAACCAGTGCGTTGGCCTTCAGGCATGCTTCAACGGCCTCACTTCAACGCTTCATCGCAGCACACGTCGGCGGCCGCACGCTTCGCCGACGCCACTTTGCCGACGCCACTTCGGTGGCCGCACGCTTCGATGACGCCACTTCGGTGGCCGCACGCTTCGACGACGCTTCGACGACTCCACGCTTCGACTCCTCCTCCACGCTTCGACTCCTCCTCCACGCTTCGACTCCTCCTCCACGCTTCGACTCCTCCTCCACGCTTCGACTCCTCCTCCACGCTTCGACTCCTCCTCCACGCATCGACTCCGGCGCACTCATCGACTCCGGCGCACGCATCGACTCCGGCGCACGCATCGACTCCGGCGCACGCATCGACGACGGCGCACGCATCGACGACGGCGCTCGCTTGGGCGGCGCACGCCTTGACGCGGCACGCCTTGGCGCCTCAACAACGCCGCACGCTACGCCGCAGCACGCTTTGACGCAGCACGCTTCAACGATGGCGCACGCTTTAACGCAGCACGCTTTGACGCAGCACGCATCAACGATGGCGCACGCATCAACGACGCAGCTCGCTTGGACGCCGCACGCCATGACGCCGGCGCACGCCTTGACGCCGGCGCACGCCTTGACGCAGGCGCATGCATCAACGACGCCGCTCGCTTGGACGCTGCTCGCTTGGACGCCGCTCGCTTGGATGCCGCACGCCTTGACGCCTCAACAACGCTGCACGCCTTGATGCAGCACGCTTCAACGACGGCGCACGCTTCAAAGACGGCGCACGCTTCAACGACTGCGCACGCTTCAACGACTGCGCACGCTTCAACGACGGCGCACGCTTCAACGACGGCGCACGCTTCAACGACGGCGCACGCTTCAACGACGGCGCACGCCTTGAGGCAGCACGCTTTGAGGCAGCACGCTTCAACGACGCCGCACGCTTTGACGCAGCACGCTTCATCGCAGCACACGTCGGTGGCCGCACGCTCCATCGCCGTACGTCGGTCGGCGCACACGCTTCCACGTCGGTCTCCGCCTCCTGCCGCATTCTCGACCTCATGCTTCGACGCATTCATGTGCTCTCATCCATTCATCGTGGAACCAGTGTCGACCATGGACTCGCGTTCCCTATTGGTGGGTGAACAATCCAACGCTAGGAGAGTTCTGCTTCACAATGACGGGAAGAGCCGGCATCGAAGGATCAGGTCAGTGGTCTGACTGAAGACGTGGTCTGACTGAAGACGTGGTCTGACTGAAGACGTGGTCCGACTGAAGACGTGGTCCGACTGAAGACGTGGTCCGACTGACGACGTGGTCCGACTGAAGACGCGGTCTGACTGAAGACGTGGTCTGACTGAAGACGTGGTCTGACTGAAGACGTGGTCTGACTGAAGACGTGGTCTGACTGAAGACGCGGTCTGACTGAAGACGTGGTCTGACTGAAGACGCGGTCTGACTGAAGACGTGGTCTGACTGAAGACGTGGTCTGACTGAAGACGACGTGGTCTGACTGAAGACGCGGTCCGACTGAAGACGCGGTCTGACTGAAGACGTGGTCTGACTGAAGACGTGGTCTGACTGAAGACGTGGTCTGACTGAAGACGTGGTCTGACTGAAGACGCGGTCTGACTGAAGACGACGCGGTCTGACTGAAGACGTGGTCTGACTGAAGACGTGGTCTGACTGAAGACGTGGTCTGACTGAAGACGTGGTCTGACTGAAGACGAAGTGGTCTGACTGAAGACGCGGTCTGACTGAAGACGCGGTCTGACTGAAGACGCGGTCTGACTGAAGACGTGGTCTGACTGAAGACGCGGTCTGACTGAAGACGTGGTCTGACTGAAGACGCGGTCTGACTGAAGACGTGGTCTGACTGAAGACGTGGTCTGACTGAAGACGTGGTCTGACTGAAGACGCGGTCTGACTGAAGACGCGGTCTGACTGAAGACGTGGTCTGACTGAAGACGTGGTCTGACTGAAGACGTGGTCTGACTGAAGACGCGGTCCGACTGAAGACGCGGTCCGACTGAAGACGCGGACTGAAGACGAGTGGTCTGACTGAAGACGCGGTCTGACTGAAGACGCGGTCTGACTGAAGACGACGTGGTCTGACTGAAGACGTGGTCTGACTGAAGACGTGGTCTGACTGAAGACGTGGTCTGACTGAAGACGTGGTCTGACTGAAGACGCGGTCTGACTGAAGACGCGGTCTGACTGAAGACGCGGTCTGACTGAAGACGTGGTCTGACTGAAGACGTGGTCTGACTGAAGACGTGGTCCGACTGAAGACGCGGTCTGACTGAAGACGTGGTCTGACTGAAGACGTGGTCTGACTGAAGACGAAGTGGTCTGACTGAAGACGTGGTCTGACTGAAGACGTGGTCTGACTGAAGACGTGGTCTGACTGAAGACGTGGTCTGACTGAAGACGTGGTCTGACTGAAGACGCGGTCTGACTGAAGACGCGGTCTGACTGAAGACGTGGTCTGACTGAAGACGTGGTCTGACTGAAGACGTGGTCTGACTGAAGACGCGGTCTGACTGAAGACGTGGTCTGACTGAAGACGCGGTCTGACTGAAGACGCGGTCTGACTGAAGACGTGGTCTGACTGAAGACGCGGTCTGACTGAAGACGTGGTCCGACTGAAGACGTGGTCTGACTGAAGACGTGGTCTGACTGAAGACGTGGTCTGACTGAAGACGTGGTCTGACTGAAGACGTGGTCTGACTGAAGACGTGGTCTGACTGAAGACGTGGTCTGACTGAAGACGTGGTCTGACTGAAGACGTGGTCTGACTGAAGACGTGGTCTGACTGAAGACGTGGTCTGACTGAAGACGTGGTCTGACTGAAGACGCGGTCTGACTGAAGACGTGGTCTGACTGAAGACGTGGTCTGACTGAAGACGTGGTCTGACTGAAGACGCGGTCTGACTGAAGACGTGGTCTGACTGAAGACGCGGTCTGACTGAAGACGCGGTCTGACTGAAGACGAAGTGGTCTGACTGAAGACGTGGTCTGACTGAAGACGAAGTGGTCTGACTGAAGACGCGGTCTGACTGAAGACGTGGTCTGACTGAAGACGTGGTCTGACTGAAGACGTGGTCCGACTGAAGACGTGGTCTGACTGAAGACGTGGTCTGACTGAAGACGCGGTCTGACTGAAGACGCGGTCTGACTGAAGACGCGGTCTGACTGAAGACGTGGTCTGACTGAAGACGCGGTCTGACTGAAGACGTGGTCTGACTGAAGACGTGGTCTGACTGAAGACGTGGTCTGACTGAAGACGCGGTCTGACTGAAGACGTGGTCTGACTGAAGACGCGGTCTGACTGAAGACGTGGTCTGACTGAAGACGCGGTCTGACTGAAGACGTGGTCTGACTGAAGACGCGGTCTGACTGAAGACGAAGTGGTCTGACTGAAGACGTGGTCTGACTGAAGACGTGGTCTGACTGAAGACGTGGTCTGACTGAAGACGTGGTCTGACTGAAGACGTGGTCTGACTGAAGACGCGGTCTGACTGAAGACGTGGTCTGACTGAAGACGCGGTCTGACTGAAGACGTGGTCTGACTGAAGACGTGGTCTGACTGAAGACGTGGTCTGACTGAAGACGCGGTCTGACTGAAGACGCGGTCTGACTGAAGACGCGGTCTGACTGAAGACGTGGTCTGACTGAAGACGCGGTCTGACTGAAGACGCGGTCTGACTGAAGACGCGGTCTGACTGAAGACGTGGTCTGACTGAAGACGCGGTCTGACTGAAGACGTGGTCTGACTGAAGACGTGGTCTGACTGAAGACGTGGTCTGACTGAAGACGTGGTCTGACTGAAGACGTGGTCTGACTGAAGACGTGGTCTGACTGAAGACGTGGTCTGACTGAAGACGCGGTCTGACTGAAGACGACGCGGTCTGACTGAAGACGCGGTCTGACTGAAGACGTGGTCTGACTGAAGACGTGGTCTGACTGAAGACGTGGTCTGACTGAAGACGTGGTCTGACTGAAGACGTGGTCTGACTGAAGACGAAGTGGTCTGACTGAAGACGTGGTCTGACTGAAGACGCGGTCTGACTGAAGACGCGGTCTGACTGAAGACGTGGTCTGACTGAAGACGCGGTCTGACTGAAGACGCGGTCTGACTGAAGACGTGGTCTGACTGAAGACGCGGTCTGACTGAAGACGCGGTCTGACTGAAGACGCGGTCTGACTGAAGACGCGGTCTGACTGAAGACGTGGTCTGACTGAAGACGTGGTCTGACTGAAGACGTGGTCTGACTGAAGACGTGGTCTGACTGAAGACGTGGTCTGACTGAAGACGTGGTCTGACTGAAGACGTGGTCTGACTGAAGACGTGGTCTGACTGAAGACGTGGTCTGACTGAAGACGTGGTCTGACTGAAGACGTGGTCTGACTGAAGACGCGGTCTGACTGAAGACGAAGTGGTCTGACTGAAGACGTGGTCTGACTGAAGACGTGGTCTGACTGAAGACGTGGTCTGACTGAAGACGTGGTCTGACTGAAGACGCGGTCTGACTGAAGACGCGGTCTGACTGAAGACGTGGTCTGACTGAAGACGCGGTCTGACTGAAGACGTGGTCTGACTGAAGACGTGGTCTGACTGAAGACGTGGTCTGACTGAAGACGTGGTCTGACTGAAGACGTGGTCTGACTGAAGACGTGGTCTGACTGAAGACGTGGTCTGACTGAAGACGTGGTCTGACTGAAGACGTGGTCTGACTGAAGACGTGGTCTGACTGAAGACGCGGTCTGACTGAAGACGTGGTCTGACTGAAGACGCGGTCTGACTGAAGACGTGGTCTGACTGAAGACGCGGTCTGACTGAAGACGACGCGGTCTGACTGAAGACGCGGTCTGACTGAAGACGTGGTCTGACTGAAGACGTGGTCTGACTGAAGACGTGGTCTGACTGAAGACGTGGTCTGACTGAAGACGCGGTCTGACTGAAGACGTGGTCTGACTGAAGACGCGGTCTGACTGAAGACGTGGTCTGACTGAAGACGTGGTCTGACTGAAGACGTGGTCTGACTGAAGACGTGGTCTGACTGAAGACGCGGTCTGACTGAAGACGCGGTCTGACTGAAGACGTGGTCTGACTGAAGACGTGGTCTGACTGAAGACGCGGTCTGACTGAAGACGTGGTCTGACTGAAGACGCGGTCTGACTGAAGACGCGGTCTGACTGAAGACGTGGTCTGACTGAAGACGTGGTCTGACTGAAGACGCGGTCTGACTGAAGACGCGGTCTGACTGAAGACGCGGTCTGACTGAAGACGCGGTCTGACTGAAGACGTGGTCTGACTGAAGACGTGGTCTGACTGAAGACGTGGTCTGACTGAAGACGTGGTCTGACTGAAGACGTGGTCTGACTGAAGACGTGGTCTGACTGAAGACGCGGTCTGACTGAAGACGTGGTCTGACTGAAGACGTGGTCTGACTGAAGACGTGGTCTGACTGAAGACGTGGTCTGACTGAAGACGCGGTCTGACTGAAGACGCGGTCTGACTGAAGACGTGGTCTGACTGAAGACGTGGTCTGACTGAAGACGTGGTCTGACTGAAGACGCGGTCTGACTGAAGACGCGGTCTGACTGAAGACGTGGTCTGACTGAAGACGTGGTCCGACTGAAGACGTGGTCCGACTGAAGACGCGGTCTGACTGAAGACGCGGTCTGACTGAAGACGTGGTCTGACTGAAGACGCGGTCTGACTGAAGACGCGGTCTGACTGAAGACGTGGTCTGACTGAAGACGTGGTCTGACTGAAGACGTGGTCTGACTGAAGACGTGGTCTGACTGAAGACGTGGTCTGACTGAAGACGCGGTCTGACTGAAGACGTGGTCTGACTGAAGACGTGGTCTGACTGAAGACGCGGTCTGACTGAAGACGTGGTCTGACTGAAGACGCGGTCTGACTGAAGACGCGGTCTGACTGAAGACGCGGTCTGACTGAAGACGCGGTCTGACTGAAGACGTGGTCTGACTGAAGACGTGGTCTGACTGAAGACGTGGTCTGACTGAAGACGCGGTCTGACTGAAGACGCGGTCTGACTGAAGACGTGGTCTGACTGAAGACGCGGTCTGACTGAAGACGCGGTCCGACTGAAGACGTGGTCTGACTGAAGACGTGGTCTGACACTGCCCGTTGGTCCTTTTCACTCGAGTGATAGTGGTTCGAGGTTTCTCTTTTCAGCTTCGCAGGAACGCGATGCCGCAACGCCGCACCAAAGCTCTGCTACAACGCCGCGACGGTGGCCTGCTGCAACGCTGGCCTGCTAAGACTGCATGAGTACTGTTCGGCGTGGCCTTCAAACCTGGTCGGCTATCTTCCCCAGGCCGCACTCATTGGCTTTTGGTGTGCAGCACTGCCCGCCACGGTTTGCGTGCACTCTGAGTGGCTGTAGGCGGTGCTGCTTCTCATGTTCCCCAGGCATATTCTCTCCTGGTCTCCTGGTGCGGCTCCTGCCGCCGGGCCTGTCTCACGCTTCGCCTTACCTGACACACCCTGGCCCTCATTCTGACCGGGCCCTTGTGCGTTGGTTTTTGGGGGTCCAGAGATCTCCTATCGAACATCAATCTTCCTGGGTAAGTGTACTTCATGAATCTCATTTTCACCTTCTAGTCTCCCCAAGTGGAATCATGTTCGAATATCAGCGCTCTAAACACCAGCAGTTCATCCTTCATTCAGCATTCTCCTTTCCCTCTCACTGCACACTCTCAGTCTCTGGACATCAGCATCGCGGGTACTGCCGTCACTGCCTCATCTACATCGGCATTAAATACATTCTCTACAAATCCACTTCGAGTCACACTGCTCCACCCTCATAAGAAGATCCTTAAAGAAGTATTGGCATGGTCCTTGTTCTGTAGTTTAGGTCCTGGACGACTAGCCTGTCTGTCCGTGGAGTGGATCCCTCTCTCATGTAGGGTCTTCCGAAGGTTTCTCACTTTTTCCCCACAGGGTTTTGTGAGTTTTCCTCGCCATGCAGGAGGGTCTGGACAGTTAGTGTCCAACTAGAAGGCCCGTGGTGATGATCCAGGATACTTTAACATTCTACAACATCTATGGACATTTTATCAACATTCATAGACTATAATTACTCCTTAAACAATCCCTCGACGACCCCCTGGTCTGAACAAATTCAAAACCTCTGCTCCCTGCATGTAACCTCTCTTCCTTTCTCTACACCAGCCACTCCTTCCGGATAGGAGCAGCCACTTGGGCTGCTGCCCTGGGACTCCCTCAATCATCTCTCCAGGAGCTCGGTCCCCGGTTCTCTACCACATTCATCCGTTCTGGCAGCCCAGCGCCTCTTCCCATATAAGTACGTATGCATCTCCTGGTGGTGGCAACTCCTCATTTCCAGCATGCCGCGCACTCGAGCCGAGCTCGTGCGCGTGCCAACGCCTAGCGTTAGAGCCGAGCTCGCGCACGGACATTACGCCGCGCACTTGAGCCGAGCTCGTGCGCGTGCCAACGCCTAGCGCTAGAGCCGAGCTCGCGCCCGGGCATTACGCCGTGCACTCGAGCCGAGCTCGTGCGCGTGCCAACGCCTAGCGCTAGAGCCGAGCTCGCGCACGGAAACAGTCACTCACACCATGCGCCTTCCATAAACGCAGCAACCAAGTCATGGCAAACGCATCGCTAGCCAAGCTCTCTTTTTGGGGATCATGATCTGCCCCAGGCGCAGATCTCTCCAGAGCACGGCCACAGCCGGGGCCTAAGCTCCAAACCAATAAACAAACTCAATCCATAAAATAAATAACTCTTAAACGCATCTCGTCTCTTGTAGTCTCTCCAGGTTGAAATGGAGCTTAAGCGGAGGTTCAGTATGGTAGACTACCTACGTTATCACGCCAGGCTTGACCACGCCTTACTCAGCCTGTCTTAATCAACTCCCCGCAGCCGTGTCAATCAAGCCAGCGTTTAAGAGCAAAGCAGAGCACAGCTCACCAAACGGACTTCAAGCTGCAACCACCTCCTCCCCACCTCCGCCTCAGGATTTCTTCACTCTCACATTCACCTTGCCTTGTTGCCACCACCAGTGTCTAGGCCCCGGGGGATCATGATCTGCCCCAGGCGCAGATCTCTCCAGAGCACGGCCACAGCCGGGGCCTAAGCTCCAAACCAATAAACGAACTCAATCCATAAAATAAACAACTCTTAAACGCATCTCGTCTCTTGTAGTCTCTCCAGGTTGAAAAACAGCTGCAGTACATTCAAAATGCAGCAGCTCGAGTCCTGACTAGAACCAGGAAGTACGACCACATTAGTCCTGACTAGAACCAGGAAGTACGACCACATTAGTCCTGACTAGAACCAGGAAGTACGACCACATTAGTCCTGACTAGAACCAGGAAGTATGACCACATTAGTCCTGACTAGAACCAGGAAGTACGACCACATTAGTCCTGACTAGAACCAGGAAGTACGACCACATTAGTCCGGTCCTCAGGTCTCTGCACTGGCTTCCTGTGGCTCAGAGAATAAATTTTAAAGCAGCTTTACTTGTGTACAAGTCTCTCCATGGCCTCGCACCAGGGTACATCCGCGACATGTTGGTGCCATATGAACCAACTCGGGCTCTGAGGAGCACAGGGACTGGACTTAGTGCCAAGAGTCGGAACTAGACAGGGGGAGGCTGCGTTTCAGATTCATGCAGCTAGAGTCTGGAACCGTCTTCCCAAGAATGTGAGACAGGCGTCTATTCTAGCAGTTTTTAAAACTGAACTGAAAACAGTTCTTTTTAGCTGTGCATACAAGTGAATGATTTTATATTTGTTTTTATATTTAATCTTTTTAATGCGCTAAGACTATTTATGATTGTAATCCCTTGTGTGATTTTAACGTTTTACGGTTTTTAACTACTTGTGTGATTTTATATATCTTGTGCTCTTAATCTGTCTTTTTATGTTTACTTAAATTCTAATGTTTGATGATTTATGCATGATGTTATATGGGTTGTGAGGCGCTTTGCGTTGCCTTGTGTAGGAAAGGCGCTCTACAAATAAACGTTGATTGATTGATTGATTGATCTGTGTATCATACAGCTGTGTATCATACAGCTGTGTATCATACAGCTGTGTATCATACAGCTGTGTATCATACAGCTGTGTATCATACAGCTGTGTATCATACAGCTGTGTATCATACAGCTGTGTATCATACAGCTGTGTATCATACAGCTGTGTATCATACAGCTGTGTATCATACAGCTGTGTATCATACAGCTGCGGCCGTTCACTCCGCACACACAGGACTCATTGCAACACATCACTACCATGTATAACTCCGCCCTCTAGCCAAGTCTGCGTTCATATCAGTGCGCGGCACTATATACTACGCTTAAACATTGTTATGGGAGGTAAAAAAAAAAAAACAAGTCGGGCTTGATGCGGGTTTCGGGCCTGAAAATTCAGAAACCATATCGGGCCGGGCCGGGCTGGGGCGCCACCCCCTCGGGCCAGGGCCGGGCTCGGGCCCAGATAATAGGCCCGTGCAGGGCTCTACTCCATGTGCTTTGTGCTCCAGTTTGGAAGGAATGTCCCAAAGAGCCGTGCAAACCCTCTCCCTTCTCCGTTCAGGGGTTTCGGATCCTGACACAGGGGCAGGAAGAGAGATCAAAAACTCGTCGAACTGGTTCATAAACAGCACGAATTTTATCCAATTTATTTTGTACAGCACTTTGAATTGCCTCATTCATACAGAATTGTGCTATATAAATAAACTTGGCTTGCCTTGCCTTGCCACCCGCCCAAATCTTTTTGTGCCTGCAAAATAGATCACAAAACCCTGAAAACCCCCCCATCTGGCAACCCTGAACTCAGCTCAGGAACTATTTGTGTCACACTCACCATTTTAGGCTATAATCCGTGGTTCAGCACTCACTGAAGTTGATTTTTTGAGATTGTCTTTGAAAATCCAGATATGAGCCGGAGAAACTGACCAATCAATAGCTGTCCATCCATCCATACATTTTCTTCCCCTTAAACCATTTCTGGGTTGGGAGAGTGGCCAGAGATGCCACCCATTACCCATAGCACCAGCCCCTCGCTGATCCTCCTGCAGGCGGTGAGTCCACAGGAGCCTTGATCTTTCAGTGGGGGCTTCAGGCAAAGTGGGGTTAAGTGTCTTGCCCAAGGACACAACAGCAGGAAACATCAGTGGGATGTCTCCTGTCTAATAGCTGTCTGAAGCAGAATTCGTTCACAGCAGTGAGTAGTGCGGGTGGGGACAGACTGGCGCCACTTCTAATTGGTCCTTGGTAACTTGGCCGTTGCTACCCATGCATTTGCATACAAGTGGCTCTGAATTCCTTCTCAAACAGCCTGTGTGAGTTAGCTCTAATCCTCATGGAGCCTGTTTTAGTTAGCTCCAACCGGCTTTCTCTGCATTAAAGCTATCACCAGTGACATCAAACCAGGTCAGTCCACTCATCATATGCAGTCTATGGTGAGACTATAGATTCTCACTATATACTGTAGCAGACAGAATCGTCATGTCTTCTTTAAGTCCAGGTCTCTCTCTCTGCTTTTGTAACCGGTGCCAGAGGAAGTTGCAAGCTGGAAGTGGATTTTGTTTTGTGTTTGAGCCTGTTGTATATTTTAACTATGCAGATGTGAATATTGGCTGACCCTGATTTGAACTGTCTTTTCCTAAAGCAAAAAGACCTGGTTTCCCCATGTTCCTTTGTTAGTCCAAAGTGCATGGGTGAGTTAATGATAGGTAATCTGGGGGGGGATTCTCCTAATCCTGAAGAAGGAGGGGGACCCAGAGAGCCTTCTGCCTTATCTCAAAGAAGTAATAAATTTGGGGAGTGGTAGTGTGTGTGAATGATTCTGTTTAAGGTACGGCAGACAGAGGGGAAATGATGGAAGAGGTTGGGCCCAAGTCCTGCCTGATACGACACGCCCCCTGCTCCCTGAACATCGACTGAATGCTCTGGCTTGGGAAGAGTCAGAAGGATCAACCGAGGGCCAGAGAAAGGGACATATTAGTTTTAGGAGCACTTTTTGTTGAATATTCTGTATCTGATTGTAAAGATAATTAAATGCAGATGTTAAACGTGAAGATCTCTTGTCTCGCTCTTGCATCGATTTTGGATACGTCAGTCAAAGGGAATTATTGACATCAAGCCGTAAAACTTCTGAAAAACGAAAAAACAAATTCAACATCATTCCCTTCAACATTTGGAAATGACTGCAGACAAATTGCTAATGTTGGCTGCAGGAAAACAGTAGTTCTGTGGAGCTGCAGATTGTCCAAAAACCACCTCTAAAGAGCGCGCCGCGTAATGGCCGCCCCATTATGGAGCCCGCGTGCGCAACGCGCCCTGAATCATTGATGGTTCCTGATGGAGACACGCAGCTTTGTCAACAAAATCTATTAAACGCCAGTGTTTCCAAAAGAGGACAGGCACTTCAGCCCGAGCTGCCAAGGCGCCGGTCTGACTCCTTCACCAAACAGCAGTGCCCCGGCCAATCAGAGAACCACACGGCACGCGGCGGCTTTTAACCCGAACAAACAGAAGAGCGAGGAAGAGACAGGGACGTGTGTGAGCAGGAAATGGATCGTTTTGAGGCCGGAGTGAGGAGAATTCCTGGGAGTGTGCCACTGTCTCCGTTCATGTGTGCAGATGGTATGTGTATTTTAAAGATAAGATATTCCTTTATTTGTCCCACAGTGGGGAAATTTCAAAATAGGTTTTCCCGAAGTAGGTTTCCAACGGTGACAGTGGCTTGGTTGGTAGACCATTGGCCTTTGAGCCTGAAGGTTGTGGGTCAAGCCCAGTGGGGGCGGGTCCCGGCTCAAAAGTGGCCAAAATGATGTGCGCTGACATGCTGCAATACCACCCCGGGCCGATGGGGGTGGTCCCGGAATAAGAATTATTCAATGCTAACATATAGCATTAGCTGACCTCTCGCTGACATCTTTACAGGATGGACCAAAAGTCGGCTCTTGGCCCAAAGCTATGTTCCACATGTGTGTCAATGCTGAGGGGGAGTGAATATTTTTGGACCAGTCTAGTTTGGTCGCTGTGAAATTTGTGAAAGGCACTCATTAAATGAATGGGGCTCGTGCCGGCTGATGCATGCACAGATGCATTTTTTCACATTGTCTCACATTTTCCATCCCCCGCGACCGTTTTTGAACTGCCCATAGACCGCGGAAGTTGTGGCCCATTGGTTAGAACGGCAGAGGGAGGCGTGACTAAGTCCGTTAATATTTACAGTCTATGGTCGAGCCGTCTCTATCGACTCCACTGGTGTCTGGTGTCATTGTGTCCTTGGGCAAGACCCACTGTTAATGTTTCAGGATGAGAAATCATTCAGGAAGGTCTGAGGACAGTAGGGATTTTGTGAAATGCCAATTGGGAAAGTGGAATGTGCAAATCAGGATTTTCAGATACGTCCAGTGACGTGCAATGAGGTTTGTGATTGGTGAGGCACTGACTTCACCCCAATCAGGTGTGCATATATATCGTATAAATCAACCGGACCTACAGAGCGGCATATTCCCAATTACTATTGCAACAACACATCGTCAGTATGGTAAAATTAACCTGTCTCACGACGGTCTAAACCCAGCTCACGTTCCCTATTAGTGGGTGAATAATCCAACGCTTGGTGAGTTCTGCTTCACATTGATAGGAAGAGCCGACATCGAAGGATCAAAAAGCGACGTCACTATGAACGCTTGGCCGCCACAAGCCAGTGCTGTAACGCCTCCTGTGAGAAATTAGCAGTACATGTTAATATGGGATGCATGGGCGGGTCATTCGGCATATGCGTCAATGCGATCATTTTTTTAACGCAATTCATGAAAAAAATTATAAACGTTTCCTGTTTGCTTTTATTCAATTGATGCTTTGAGTAGCAAAAACAGCCACGTACTGTAAGCACCCACTACTCTTGCATGTGTCCTAAAAGTGAGTAGTAGCTCTCCTCCCTGAGCTGCTTATTGTCCATGCAGTGATGTAACTGACTCCCTCCCCCCGTGTCCAGATCCGAAACTCCTAAACGGAGACGGAAGAGGTTTTGCATGGCTCTTTTGGACATCCCCCAGCACATGGATCACACCACATTTACAACAGCCATCCATTTGCATTTCAGTGGTGAGGCTTTGAATACTCTGCACTCATTTGTGTTTGGTAGGAAACCGTGAAGTGGGTTAAAACAGCCAGGCGGTGTTTTACATGAGGCTACGTGGGATACAGGCCTGGTCTCATTTAAGGCAAGGCAAGTTTATTTGTATAGCACGGTTCAGACAACTCAAACTGCTGAATATAACTAGCCAGAAGACATGGATCACAAGGCAAAAGAGTGAAGTACAGGCCTTGAACCCTATGTTTTAGCAGAATATGACTCCTGGGCCCCTGTTGGGGCTTGGGCCTATCAAGTGCAACATCACTAAAGTGTTTTGCTCGGACTGATAACAGAATGTGGATCAGAGATCTCTGCTGGGACTGCTGGTCTTCTGGATACAGACATGCTGGTTGCTCTGGGCGGTTCCTCAGTGGTTGCTCTGTAACTTGCTCGGACACATTAAAGTGATAGTCTGGAACTCTAAATGAATTACAAATTTTAAAATTTGAATTAAATTGACCCCCTGGGCTTAAATGTTGATATAACCATGAGTTATAATATTACGGGTAAGTCCTGCCTTCCCTTCTCTAAGCTATAGCTTAAAATCCACGATGCCTTCCACTTTAACCAATCAAGTGATGCCAAGGGCTGTCAATCATCAGCGCTCATGCTAGTAGCTGCGCGCATGCTCAGTTGTTTGTTTTCACAGAGCCTCCGAATCAAGCCTCCACTAGATTCAGATTCAGATTCATTTATTTGCCATTTGCAGTAAAACCACATAGGAAAAACTGTGCAAGACTACCCCGGTGTGCACCAGGACGACACACACCAGAGCTCTTGCCACGGCGCCATCTTTACGGCGCCATGCGGTAAAGCTCTGGAACTACATGAAAACTTAACAAAGTATTCTGAACATCTGCGCTGAGTTGCCTGTTTAAATACTGAACGTATATCCATAATCAGATCCTCTGCAGATGTGTCCTACAATGTTCAATGAATGTTGATAGTTACTTCCGGGTTTACCGTGATTGCTTTTTTATGCAATTAAAACATCTTTTTGTCATGAAAACGTTAACAGATAATTCTGAAAACCTTTGTGCATGTGTATTTATAATGTATATCTATAATGTGTTCTCCGATTAACATTTAAATGTGTTGATTG